CTACCCGCTCACCCGATCTACTAGTTTGACCTATATAGTTGACCTCAGTCACAAAAATTGCAAGGTATTTTGTAAATTATATTATTTTGTCTAATTGGGTCAACCTACAGGGTCATTTAACCTATCGAGCTTGTCCTGTCTGAGTCAGTTTGTAAATTTAAATGCCATCCTAATGTGTAATACAGTTACGTAATGAGAGGAATAGTTTAATGAGTGAGTTGTGATTAGGATGCACGTAAAAACAAAATGAAATGTGGAATTATGTAAGAAAGTTCCAGAATTATTTCCGGTCAGAGGTCAGATTAATAAAATTATCAAGTGTAATAAACAGAAAATAGGTAGTAGTTTAAAAATCCCCATTGAGTTGTCACCCCGTCTTCTCATTTTCATATTCTATAAACATTTCAGGTCGCTTAGTAATTTTATTTAATCTGACCTCTGATCGGAAATAATTCTGGAACTTTCTCACACATTTAATATAAATACACGAATGTACAGCTATCTAGTTGATGACTTCGTCGAAAAAAGAAAATTTTCTTCATTTGACCTTTGACCTGAAATGTTTCTTGAATAGTGCCACTAACTACCTTCTGTTTATTACACTTTGTAATAATGTAAGAGTTCTAAAATTAAAAATGTAGAAAGGAGTTAGAATATCCGTTCACATGTTGCTGTGTGGTCAGGTACATTGGTCTTTCGACGCGTAGTGACTCAGTAGTGAGTCTATAAGAAGTGAGACCGTCAAACACCTTGTCGACACTGGTCATTCCATTTCAACAAACGCCTCCTTCAAAGTAACCAATCTGCAAAGTGAAGAATAATAACCTGTTAAATACATTAAGGTTTCGTCTCCTCGGCTGCATTGTTGAAGCCTTAGCCATTCAGTCGGAAAAACCAGATTAATGCATACAAAAGAAAATCGTTCAACCACTTTTACTATCATGGTAGCAACCGTCTTGACTTTTTCTGACTTGATGTTTGTGTGCATATTTTTGCCTCTAACAAGGCATCGACAAAGCGTATCTGCAACCTTGAAGGAACTCATGTCCCACCCCTCTGAGATTCAAACTTGACTGATATAATTTAGTCTGCACCAGAGAAAAGACTGAAGGTATCAAACTAGTTAGTAGTGTCAGTAAGTATTCCAGACGAGTAAATTTCCTCTTACCTGACCTGATGGACCCTGCTAGTATCAACTTCTCACTAGAACTCCAGGTAACTTTTTGTATAGGGCTAGTGAGCATCATTTGAGTGAATTAATTTCATTTCTAACCTTCGACTGTCCACGAGAATCGTTCGTGTCTGTGTTTCTTGTGGAGAGAGTGTGTGTGTGTCTGATCCCACCGTTTTGTGGATTATTCGACTTGATTCTAAGTACTCGTTTTGTACTCAGACTGGATTCAGTAGCTACCTAACGGCAGTGTTGAGGTAATTTCCAGTTTATGATGTTATTATTCTTGTTTGATGGAACCATAAAATTATTCCAGGATAATCACCTTTTTGTCAGTCTTTTGGAGTGTTTCGTGACTGTGCGTGTGTCTCAAGGAAGTTTTGGTCAGCTATGCACAGTAGGATGCAGAGATCGATTTTCTCGGTTCAGATCATAACAAGTCGGTTTTGGTCACTACGCCTACTGTGTATTAAACTGTACACAGCTTAGTGACTAGGTTGGAGTCGATAAATGTGATATTGTCGGAGTAGGAATATGGAATAATCTGTTCACTCAGAGATGACACCATCAGCATTTACTGTCCAAGTTGCACTTTTAACAACAAATACTGACCAATTGTCATCTGCTTGGGGGGGGGGGTAATTGTCAAAGTCAAGCGTATCGGCCAATTGTGTATCTCAAAGGAATTAAGTGACAACGACAACAACCTCGTCTATTAATCCTCTGATTAACCATCAGCTACCTGTATTTGATCATTTCGACTTAATGAAAATACCATTCGGTTACTGGGACTCAATCATCCAATGGCCAACCGATGAATTCCAACTCCTGTCAATTCGGGTTATGTAAAAATATGAACCACCTTCATTTGTCATAGGCGAGTAACTGATCTCTGGCCCTGACTTGATGGACGCCACCGGTTACGACATCTCAGTGGAGCACCAGGTAACTTCGTGTATAGATAGAACCAGTCACTAGTGAGCATAAGATTTAATTATCAGGTGTTGGCTTTCAGAGATCTGATTGGTTACAGGTTCGATCACCTGAGGAGTCGTAACCAGTAGGGTCCACTAAGTCACGTGTACATGTATATCGCGAATCGTCAGAAGTTGGGATTTATGAGCTGACCAATGGATCGGGTACCAATGGCTGAATAGTCTATGACCTCACCTTATAATCAGAAGGTCTTGGGTTCGATCCCCAGTGGGTGTGTACCATGAAGACTCCCAAGCACTAAAACGAAACAGTTCTCCAATACTTCTAAGTTTTCCAGCGGTTCTCTAACCGATGTCAGCTCATGATGCAGTCCTGTAGCCAGTCAAATCCCTATAAACCAACACTTCAGTAATCACGATTAGCAACAGGGAACTCTGGCAACGAATCAGTCAAGAACCTACTGGACGGAGTGGACATAGGCTGAGGGGACCGACCGTCACGTGGTATTTTACTCCTAGAAGGTCATCGCGGGAAACTTGAATGGGAATAGACGTTTTAGGCGTAGGTTTATAAGGGTGCCTGACACTGGAGGAGATCGTGAGATGGTCAGGAGAAGACAAAAGCCTGTAGGGAATTATGAGTCCAGCTAAATAGGACTGCAGACAACAGGATGAAATAGATATGTGCTGTTGAATCCTTATATTCCACTCGTAATCCAAGGGAATATTAAACAACAATAATAATTATTATTTTCAACTCCAATGTGAAGTCAGTGCTACTATACGGATCAGAGACTTGCACTGCGCGTCATAAAGAGAATCTCAAACAAACTACAGACCTTCATTAACAGTTGTCTTCTCTCAGTACTCAAGATCAAATGGTCAGAAAAGATCAGCAATAGTGAGGGATCTCTGGGGGCGAACCAACAGAGCAGGAACCGATTGTGAAACAAATAGGCATGAAGAAATGGAGATGGATTGGCTGGTCATACTCTGAGGAAACCATCAAGTGACATCACTAGACAAGCGATTGCTCGAGTGGGACATGGTCGAAAGGGAAGCGGCGAGTTGGTCGTCAGTGCAAGGGTGACTTGGAGGAGGTCATGTGAAGAGGAGATGAAAACGTGCGGGCAGACTTGGAGCCAGGTGAAGATTCTAGCAGAGAACCGAACGCAATGGAGACACATGGCTGAAGCCCTATGTTCCTCTAGGAATTAAAGGAAACACTAATAATTATTATTATCGTCTTCATGAAATTCTTAAAATAAGAACTTAGGTATAATTCTGAGCATTGGACTGAACACGGAGGCGACTTATTGTAACTGAGTCACAGTGCAAGCAGTTACTCTTAAAGATGTTAGAGAAAGATATTATCGAACCTAGTTAAATACGCACGGCTATTGTATACGACCAGCGACGTTGGGATTTAATATCCCTTGCTTGAAACCTCTTCAATGCAAAACCACTTCTCTGGTGTCCGTATCGACCAACAACAGACTTCATTTAAAGAACCTTTGAATCATTGATATAAATGATCAGTGATTGTTTTCCGCCGTCCCAGTGGCTTATTGGTCGTTAAAGAACTCGCTTTGAAGGTAATGGGACGTTCCTGGGATCGTTCCCCACCGACTATGATCATGATTCAGTGCTGATGAAGAGTCCTTGACAAGGACGAAACAGCTCTCCAGCACTCCCTGTTGATGGCCTTGAATAGTTCGCAAACTGTGTAAGTCAGCACATGATAGAACTCGAAATTAATCAATTCCTCTTTGATGACGCGGAATTTTTGAACTATTCTGCATTATATATCCTCTTTTATGAAAAATACTTGTTACAACTACACCATTCCAGGGATTACTTACAACATGAAATGATCGTAAGAACATGCATTATTAAACATTATCTTAATACGAAAATAGACAAGTCTACCAAAAATGTAAGCGCATTCATGTTAAGGTAATCACAAAGACTTTTGTTTGTATGCTTATTTTTCTACTTAAAACCCTTGTGTAAGTCCGTATATTTTGTTTCCATGTACACCCTGAGTACAAGTCTTTCATCAAACTATTCATGTTATTACGTAACCCTTCTTTAACAATTGTTTGTGACAACTCATCACTTTTGTTACTACCGACTTATATCAACATCCAACTCACCTGAACTTACTAATTGTATTTTCGTTTGACAAATTTAATGTATACACACATACAAAACAACCATATATATTTGCGATTGCAAAGCTATGAAAATGAATTCACCGGCGAAAAGAGACTCTTCGCTGAACTACTTGTCTTCTGTCTATTAATGTTCGAATGAGAATTTTTCATGAATCACAAAGACCTCAACATTTCACCCTGTCATTCAGCATATTCTGTGTTAGTGTTAAGTATCAAGAATTGATTCCGAGAATAAGGATGAGCTATCTAGTGCTGCCATCTACTTACTCTATGTGTATCTATTACAGTTTGACTTCCTGTGTGTAGCCAGTTATATCGATCTTACTATTAGACATGATTATAATTGTAAGAAGAGATAAACACGGTCTATTCGTAGCTCTCCGTTTTACCTCTCACCCCTGAGTAGATAATGAACATAAAGTCGGTATCTTAACGGGGCATTCACAGTTATCCAATCTTGATTTCGCCTTATGAGTTCGTTGTTTTTACATATACCTAGCTGAAGCTATCGGAATCTACCGGAAGACGCCAAACTTATGTCGGTATGCGTTTATCGAGAAACAAAATATTCTTTGCTAGCTCAATCTATCCCAACCTACGCCCTAATGTCTTCTAAACTGTTCCCTACATGGTGAATAACCAATAACAAACTAGACATTACAACTACTGGATAAGAAACTCAACGAAATTTATGAAAACACTCACATGACACATTGAAGCATTTTATTCAAATTAACCCTTTTGTGAAATGTTTACATAAACAATTTACCAAAATAATCTTCTTGTTCTGTCATAGGGATTTACACTCACCAAAAATCTAGTATCTCTAATGTTATTTTGTGGCATCACCACTTGTCCATAGGGTTGTTGTAAAGTTGTCCTCCATCTCGGCGCATTAAAATACTGAGGTTTACTAAACTGGATATACTGTCTTGCAATAGGCAATTGAGATTGTCTGAAATATAGGTTTGATGTAGGTGGAATACGTTGAATTTGTGAGTTTAATGGATATTGTGTAGAAGACTGCCTATTATACTGAACCATATTTAATGATTGCGGTGTAAATAGTGGGGTTCTTCGCCAACGAGTATTCTGTTGCACCGGTGTATTTAGATTCGTTGTATATTTGGGATAAAAGATATTTCTTCGACTTTGATATGGAACACTTGTAGGATATGACGTAGACTGTGAGATAGTTTTCCGCGGTGCTGCTGCTGCTAGTGGTGGTGGTGATGGTGGGGGCATTAGTACTTGTTGAGGAGGATAAAGACCACTTTGCGTTGTCTGCATATTCCAGACAGGATATTGTTGTGTATTCACTTGTTGACTTCCTGTTGGAATATCTTCGAAATTACCAGTATCAAATCCACCAATACTATTAATGAATTTCTCTAATTCCTCATCTGTAATCCCCGTCGAGATTGCTTGAGATTGTAGTGGTCTCTGTTCCTGTGATTGAGGTTTAATCTGGGGTACAGAAAACAATGATGCTGCATCATTCCCTCCAAAGAATTGAAATCCAGTCGGATTAAGAATTGTATTCACTGCAGGTATACTTTTTATAACATCTTGTCCAGATGGTGTATTATTATTTCTCACAGCATCAAATATATTAACAGATGGCTCAGGTATTTCATGCCAGTCACCGTCTTGCATCGTATCAAAAGCATTTGATGATTGACTTTGATATACTGGATTCGATAGTAGATTTGTAACACTGAAACCTTGTTGAATGTTAAGGAGAAATAGAATTAAAACACACGAGACACTAAGACAACTTTTCTGTGACATGGTCAACTTGTTAAATGAACAAATTCATTTAGTTGTTTGTTTCTTAAATTTAAAAGAAAAAATTGATGACCTTGATTTGTGATGACTACTCAGGCTAATAAAATGAAATCGATAAGTCTTGGGCAGTTTGATTTATTAACGAATCAGATTAAAAGCAAAACAAATTTTCTAGTGACCTATTGCTTTTTTTCTCCAATGTGAACAGTGATCAGATTAATAATAATAATACTATGAGTTGTGTTCAATTTACATTCAAAAGGTATACAGTTGCCTCTGAATACTTTTAAGTGAATGAGTGTAATCTATCGTTAGTGTATACTTGTTATAGAGGGTAACAAGATCACTAAAATTTGATGTTGATAAATAGGGAAAATTTTTTCTATAAGAATAAAACTTGTGCACGCATTCAGACTTTAATTCGTCTCATCCATGTTATCTGTCTGTAAAGGCAGGCATAGTTAAGTGTGTCTAACAAACCGAACAGTAGCACTAAGTAGCACAAGAAAAGATATAAATGATGAAATAAAACAGATAGAAGAAGCGCAGGTATCAAATAACTATCCTATGAAATTCATCAGTAATATCAAAAAACGTCAAAAGCAAAATAAAAATAATTTTCAACTACTGGTTTGGTAGGGATTTTGTTTAATTGCATGGAGGATTTCATCATGAGCTGACATCAGTTAGAGAACCACAGGAAAACCAGCTGGGAGTACTGGACAGCTGTTTCGTCCTAGTGTGGGACTCTTCATCAGTACGCGCCCACCGGGATTCGAACCCAGGACCTTCTGGTTACAAGGGGAGCTCGAAGACCATTGACCCACCGTGACCCGATCCAATGGTCCTTGAATTCAAACTTCTGCCAATTCACGACATAGCGCGACCATTTCACAATGTCTTCTTAGATGAGTTACTGCCTCATCTTCAACCTGCTGTACCCTACTGGTCACTGCTTCCCACTAGAACCCCAGGTTAACTGCCTGAATAGGGCCAGTCACTAGTGAGCATCAGATTAATTTTCAAGTATTGGTTTGGTAGGGATTTTGTTTAATTGCATGGAGGATTTCATCATGACCAATGGATCGGGTCCCAGTGGCTCAATGGTCTACGAGCTCGCCTTGTAACCAGAAGGCCCTGCGTTCGAACCCTGTCGGTGGGTGCGTACTGCTGAAGAGTCCCAAATTAGGACGAAACAGCTGTCCAGTACTCCCAGCTGGTTTTCCAGTGGTTCTCTAACTGATGTCAGCTCATGATGAAATCCTCCATACAATAAAAATAATTGTGAAACTAGTAATGATAACATAAATAAGAGAGAATATAAGTCACCTACATTAGTTTTACCATATAAGGAGGGGAGGGGACATCTGTGACCCTCCCTATGTAGAATTCTCAATAAAGCAGGAATTAGAGTGGTATTCAAACCTACAAACTCACTCAGACAGGATAAGCTATGTACGCTAAAGAACCCTGTAGACTGACCCAATTAGACAAAATAATATAATTAACAAAATACCTTGCAATGACTGTGACTGAGGTCAACTACATAGGTCAAACTAGTAGGGCGGGATGTGGTGATTGACAATTTCTATCTCTGTATTGTTTAAACACTTACTGTTGTTTGTTAATATATTTATTACATGAATTGAAAATAATTCCGCCAAATACAAATTCCTAAATTCATCCCTGGCTGTGTTGTTGGTTGAATTCCTGTAATTCGTTCATTGCGAAACACGACTACTATTATTACAAATAATTATAACATTTTGGCGTCGATATGGAATTAAATAATCTTGGAAAGTTCCTTATGAATGGTTCACCGTGGGAAATCGCCGATTATCTTGAATGCTTCGACGCATGGTGCATGTCGAAGAATGTTCGCGATGACAAAATTTCAGCTGATTTTATTACTGCTATTGGGCTAGATGCGTACAGCCTCGTGAAAACTCTGTCATTTCCAGATAAACCAATTTCTATGCCATATGATAAACTCCGTGAACTTCTAACAGATCACTTCCACATAACAACTTTCGAAAGACGAGAGAGGACTCAGTTCAACAAATTTATTCATGCTCCCAACCAGAAGATAAGAGACTTTATTCTTCAGCTTCAGATACAAGCTTCAAAATACAACTTTGGAGATCAGCTCTATTCTCAATTACGTGATCGTCTAATTGCTGGAGTCAATATTCCTAAGTTAGAGAAAGAGTTAATTCAGATTCCTTCCTGCATCTTTCAAACTGCTAAGGATTTATGTATTACATTTGAAGATGTCAACAGTGAATATCCAGCTCCCACTACGTCAGTGTCTGATGTCATGCTGTCCCAAACTGATAATACAAGTGTTCATAAAAGAAATCCGAACTGTCATCCACATGTAACAGAATGCATACAGAAGGCAAAAACATCAAACCGCGTTTTTCCTGTGGAACGATTCATCTACGAAGCACTTGCTGCTTTCGGGGTGCTAAGTGCCATAAATGTGGTAAAATTGGGCACATAAAGTATGCTACTCAGAATTCTCATGATTCTCCCAATTTGTCTGGTAAAATGCGGTCAGTGTCTCTTTCAATTTTTCACAACAATGAATCTCATCTGATAAGAACCTTCACTGAAAGTTCAGGCAAGTCTCACTGTTTTATAATTGATACTGGGTGTACTGAATCTATAATTTCTAAGGAAGATTTGCTATCGCTTTGTAAGCATGCCCAGGTAGACCCTACTACTAGTTCCATTACAAGTATAACTGGTCATAGACTACCTCTTATTGGTGCTACTAACATTTGTGTGAAATCAAACAGTGGTAGTTTGTGTGAATATCCCCTTTCTTGTTAGTGAATATGGTCCATCTTTATTAGGATTAAAAGCCCTCAGATTGTCAAACGTCAAAATCTCACTTTGTACTGAGTTGTTTGATCAATCTTTGTTCAGAGAATTAGTTCTCCAATATTCAAAGTGTTTAGTTGCATGAAATTCAGCCCATCCATCTTGAAATAGAGCGTGATCCTATCTGCCTAAAGCGCCGATTAATTTCATATGGTTTGCGAGATGCAGTTAAGAAAGAGTTGGACAAGTTGGTTGAGCAGGGCATACTTATGCCAGTTGAATCTTTGAATTGGGCTACTCCCATTGTGACGCCATTTAAGGCTGATGGAAAAACACCGAGACCTCCGCCTTACACTCAGTAGTCATCCACTACAGCAAAGTTGCACTACGCTAGAAAGCGAAGACATTCTCTACAAGCTACATGGCTCAAAACACTTTTCCAAAATATATCTAAAAGATGCTTATTTGCGGATTCCTCTTGACAAAGCGTCTAGTGCATTAAAAACCATTAATACTCCATTTGGATTGTTCAAGTATAAGTTCTTGCCTTTTGGTTTAAAGCTTTCACCTGCAATATTTCAAAAAGTAATAAATCAGACGATAGATAGATTAGTTGGTGTTGAGTCTTACCAAGACGATACTAGAGTTCATGGTCCGAATATCGAATTGCATAATGAACGTCTTTTAAAACTGTTCAGGCGTTTCTGTGAGAAAAATATGCTTTCAAATCGTGGAAAATACCCATTGGAACATTAGATTGATAAGAACAAGAAGTTCAGCAAAGATGGCGATATTTTCGGCGATTTTATTCTCAAAAGCAGCTGTACAATCGCATTTATATAGATAAGTTTACATGGATACAACTATTATTTGTTTAATTAATTCCACATAGTAACGAAGGTGATAATAACTTTCAACTTGATATGAAAGTTTGAAGGTACGAATATAAATTATAAAGGGCTTAGAGCCAAGATTGCCTAGGATTAGATAACAGTTACAAAGTATGCAAAATTAATATTTGATAACTGGAGAAATAATTTTAAAGGCGAATTAAAGCTGATAATTATTTTCTGCAACTTGATATGAATTACAAGAGGCTTAGAACGAATTACAGGTGTGAACAAAATGAGCATGGAAACAAATTGAAATCAAAATTTTCAACTTGAAATGTAAGTTAGGAGGTGTGTGTGAATATAGATTACAAGAGGCAAAGAAACAAAAAAATGACACAGGATTAGAATAAAGTTGTAAAATGGTTATTCTAAACGGATTACAAGTGTGTGCTCAGGAGGAGCATGGAAACAAACTTGAAACAACTGATTTTATAACTGAAAAAATGGGATGAATTGAATGAAGACAACGAGATAAAATTACACACAGAGAACAAAACAAAAAAAAACTGAAGGATAAGGGAACGTACCAAACTAGTTGTAAAGGCTGGACTAGTTTCTTTTGAACACAGCTCTGGCTTTTCGATGCATGTGGCGAGAGCTTCTGCAGTACAAAGAAGTCGGAAACACGCTGTCTTTTGGTAGATTTTTGTTTACTACATCTACAAAGTTCCTTCAGTTTTTTTTGTTTTGTTCTCTGTGTGTGTAATTTTATCTCGTTGTCTTCATTCAATTCATCCCATTTTTTCAGTTATAAAATCAGTTGTTTCAAGTTTGTTTCCATGCTCCTCCTGAGCACACACTTGTAATCCGTTTAGAATAACCATTTTACAACTTTATTCTAATCCTGTGTCATTTTTTTGTTTCTTTGCCTCTTGTAATCTATATTCACACACACCTCCTAACTTACATTTCAAGTTGAAAATTTTGATTTCAATTTGTTTCCATGCTCATTTTGTTCACACCTGTAATTCATTCTAAGCCTCTTGTAATTCATATCAAGTTGCAGAAAATAATTATCAGCTTTAATTCGCCTTTAAAATTATTTCTCCAGTTATCAAATATTAATTTTGCATACTTTGTAACTGTTATCTAATCCTAGGCAATCTTGGCTCTAAGCCCTTTATAATTTATATTCGTACCTTCAAACTTTCATATCAAGTTGAAAGTTATTATCACCTTCGTTACTATGTGGAATTAATTAAACAAATAATAGTTGTATCCATGTAAACTTATCTATATAAATGCGATTGTACAGCTGCTTTTGAGAATAAAATCGCCGAAAATATCGCCATCTTTGCTGAACTTCTTGTTCT